TCCATCAACAAAGTGACAACTACATGTATGGTTGGTATCTGACCATTGACAAATTTCTCCTACGGTCTTGTGGCTTCATAGGGAAACATCAAGAGTTTACTAGGACAAAAGGTTTAAGTTCAACTTACCATATTATCAAATCTTTTGAAAACCATTTGGCTGTTATAGTAGGGATTCTGATAACAATCACAGTTATATAACAAGTATTAAATAATAATAATTAAATGAAGTGTGAACATTTAAAGTGAACATAAAACACAATTATTGTAATTTAAAGTAAAACTATAATATAACTACAGATAAAATTCAGGCTGACAGGTACTGTAACATTTTCAGCTGCTCGTTTTCTTGTTTTGTTTTTTGAAGAAAAAAATCTTCAATAGCACTGTTTATTTAAACTATGTGTCAGCATGGCTTAGCTATGTTATTTTTGGAGGCTACAGGAATATGAAAGGGAATAAAAACCAACTGTCGCTGTTGATTGGAAATAATAAATTTAATTCTGGAGGGCAGAAATAATAAAAAACATGCGTGCCTGTTTATCTCTGCTCGTCTGATCTTTTTCTTTGTGTTATTAAATAAATCAAAACCTCTTGTGGTTCCAACCTGTAACATAAGATCTTTAAGTGCCTGACTTACACATTCAGCAATCACCACTATGGCTGCCAACCTTGGAAATGGCTTGATACTAATTCACCTTTTAAATGCACGCACACACAGGGTTACTTTTTACTGAGCTTTAAACAAAGTCATTAATAGAGCTATGTAGCCACTACTTTTTTCTGTTTCCTGACTTAACAAACAAACAAGAATCTTCCTCTTTATGGTTGGGGATGAAGGTGTGTCGGGGTACATCTTCAATAAAATGTTACCTACCATGCTGAATCTTTGCTGACCTGATGGCCACAAATCTCATCTAAGTCAGGGTTGCTAGGACTTTGAGGCTGTAAACATAGCTCCTGAAGAATAACAAGGAATCTGAAGAACAGCAGATCTCCCACCTATGGAAGACAACAGTTCCCAAGCCCAAATGGCCTAAGAACCACTTTCCTTCTCACCTGCTACTTGGTCTCCTTGCACTTAATCAGACCTCCTGGAATGCTGTTCGATGTATTACATCACAATGTGTGTATCCATACTGCAAACTTACATCACAATGGGTGTATCCATACTGCAAACTTACATCACAATGGGTGTATTCATACTGCAAACTGACATTAGATCATTGTGATGTAAGACACATGTGATATGCTGAGATATCTTTAGAGAGCATTAAACCCAACAAGATCCCTTGCTTTGGGCCTCTGGGGAGAGGGGAGGAAGAGACTGTCACGTAGATACAACCCAAGAATCTATTCAGTTGGCTACATGTGAGCAAACACAGAACTTATAAACAAATACAAGCTGTCCATATAAAGTGAGGATAGAATAAGCACGCACAGAGAATGAAAGTTGGCTGAATTTTGGAATGATTTAAAATAATAGCAAAAAAAACACCACCCACATCCACATACCTAGGGGGATTAATTAACAGGCCCAGTACACAGAGAAACAGAAGTAGAGAGAGAGGTAGCACGTCATCCTTCTCCCAAACTTTATTTCCCCTGTGACAGTTCAAAGCACAACTGGCAACTTTTGATTTTCTGTTGGACTAAGCATATGCATACCAGACTAACAATAACAGGGCAATTTTAAAACCAATTTGCTGCTTCTTTGTGCTAGACAGTTCTCTTCCAAATCTATCTAATTTATTTACTACAGGGATGAAGATGCTCTTTAAAGTAGGCGAACCAAATTTGAACAGCCCCCCCAATAATGTTGATACAAGGATCCTTAACCTCAGTGAAGTGAACCCCAAACCCAACATAGTAAAGGCAAAGGACCCCTGACAGTTAAGTTCAGTAGCGAACGACTCTGGAGTTGCAGCGCTCATCTCGCTTTACTGGCCGAGGGAGCCAACGTTTGTCCCCAGTTTTTCTGGGTCATGTGGCCAGCATGACTAAGCTGCTTCTGGCGAAACCAGAGCAGTGCACGGGAACACCGTTTACGTTCCCGCCGGAGCGGTACCTATTTATCTACTTGCACTTCGTGCTTTTGAACTGCTAGGTTGGCAGGAGCTGGGACTGAGCAACAGGAGCTCACCCCATCATGGGGATTTAAACCGCCGACCTTCTGATCAGCAAGCCCTAGGCTCAGTGGTTTAGACCACAGCGCCGCCCATGTTCCCCAAATCCAACATACCTGCCTTCAATTTGAAGGAATCAAATCCCCAAATACACACAAAAACAATAACCAGTCCAAAATAGGCTGCTCACAAGTCCTCCAGCTCTAGAGATGAGCAAAACTGCTGTAGACTGCCTCTTGCAGTGATTTGACACCAGGTTATAAACTTTTACTAATTTCTCCTGATCTCCTTTAAGGTTTGTTGTTGTTTAGTCGTTTAGTTGTGTCCGACTCTTCATGACCCCATGTTAATAGAGGCTAAACACAAAATGAAGACAACCACCCAGCTAGCATTTTGAAAGATGAGAAAGTTGCTGGTTTTGACCTCCAAAGCCCCAAATGGCCTGGGAGCAGAATATTTCAATAACCACTTCGCCTAGCTGAGGATGCCAAAGAATTTCACTCCCATCTCGGAGACTCTTTTCTAGCATCCAGCTGTAGTGTGTGGGGTGGGGGTGGGGGCCTGTGTCTGAGAGACATGTTATGCCTGCAATAAAAACTCCCCTCTCTGGGTGTGGCTCCTTCTATAGCTCAGTAGGAACTAGTTGAAACCTTAGCATTACTTATGTTAGCAAATCCTAGCTGCTATGCTAAGTTCTTGATTGGTTGTTCGCAAATGACGTTTTCCTGACTCCTGCTGCTTCCTGGTATTATTGCAAAGTTTCCTCAGTGTGTATAGGCTTCTGAAATCCACCTGATAACTATACCTACCATCAGAAATATCAGTTGTTGTCAAACTTTTTGAAATCTTCAGAGTGCACTGTGGGTGCTATAACAAAATGGTTACTATGAAGGGAGCATTCATGACTGCTATTTGGTGGATGAGTATTAAAGATTAAGCATTTGGGGTTGTTTTATCCAAAATATAGAACACCTAAGCCTGGCCCAATCACTGTTCACTAGTAAAGCAAAGATGGCTTTATTTTAGCAGGTCTTTCAATAATATTGCTTTTCTTAACTCCTGCTGTGTAGTAAATTGTTACAGATCATTTGAACTCCTATTCTATTGTTGATTGCTTTATTCTTTTAAAACCACCTCAACTATATGTGTAATGCAGAAAAAAGAAGAGAGAAGTGGCAAAAACCAATAGTGAAAGGCAGCTTGAGCTCTTCAAATTCCCATGAGGACAAGGACTTTTTACGGTGCATGGAATGTAAATCAAGTGTGTTTTATGCATTTCCTCAGAATAAAGTTTCTTCCGATAGCTTTGCCATGAAAATGTTCCAAATAAATTCTAAGTTAGCCAAGTCCAAATATCTGTGGCTGCTCCAACATGCTCGTATTTCAGATACAAATGATTAAACCTTGCCCAGGAGTTTCCATAAGCCAATGCTTTTTAAAATGAAATCTTCCAAGCACTCCACTGTGAGCTGTAAAAGGTGTGATTTCAGAGCACACTTGAAACCAAATCATGTCATATATGGCTATTTGCCCTGCCTACACCCCCCCCCATTCCGAACATGCCAAAAGAGATATACTGTACCATGGACAGAAGATTCAGCTCCAGTTGGGACGTCCAACTGGACAATGTTAGTACAAGAAGTTAGGTAATGAAGAAAACATGAGTGCTAGTAACTCTGCCATTTTTCATTCACAATAACGCAGCACAACAGCTTACCTGTACATACACGAGCAGTAGTCTTGGAAGTGTGAGCTGGGCCTCTGTAGGAAAGCAAGGATAATGGCTCTTTTCTACCTGGTAGCATCACTAAGGGCAGGAGAATGAGGCTCTGCCCCTTTCATTCTTTCTAAATGCAAATTATTCCTAACCACAAATTGCTTTGAAGCATTCTCTGCTACACACCTTCACTTTTCCTTTGACACTTGTAGCCTGAGGATAAGAACAAGCCAATTGCCATTCCAGTAAAGGAAAAAGTTGGGAGGAACTTGTGCTCTCCAAAATCTGCTCGGGATGAGCACCAAGGATGAACTCCTGAAAATCTGCTAACAGATTCCTTCCTGGGTATCACCCTAAATAAATAAATAATCTAGCTTGGTCCTAAGCACTGTACTGAACTGAACCCTTAAGATCCAGGGGAAAAAACAAATCTGGGGTGGGGGGGTGGGGGGTTTCAGCCTTGTTAACTAAATGGTTGTGTAGCTCCATTACAAGAGCACTGTCCTATGATGACCGTGGCATGATTCGGGTGAGAGAACATTGCAGCAATGGAGACCTGTCATGACCCAAGAATGGCAGCTGCCATTTATTTGAAGAGGTGAAAGTAGCAAGCAGAATAGTCAGGAGAGTAGTAGGGCCTGCATCTTTGGGCTGGCTGCCAAGCCTGCTAAGGGGATTAGGGGGGAATCAATTAGATGTTCCAATTTCACCAATGGATTCATTGCTCAACCAATTACATGCAGTAAGAAAATGAAGTCTCTTCAGTGGAGATGAGCACCTGGTGATTTCAAGCAAAGGGAACATATAATGGTCAAAGCGCAGAAGGGGTATTCTTTTTATTTCATACTGTGTCATGACACAGTCACATACGCCTATAGAATTGCACGGCAGCACCTGCCCTGCAGATCTGTATATTGAAAGGAGATGGCCTTTCCTGAATGCCAAATCCTTCTATTCTCATACAGTTATCTGGCACTACCATGGCATTAAAGGTCTTTAAATTGCTTTAAAAAAAAACAAAACAACTGAATCAAAATGTGTCAAAGCACGTATTTCCCCAATTTTAGCCCAAGTTTCATGTTTACAAACATCAAAAATGACATAGCACTATAAATTTTGCAACTATCGTAAATCTTTAAGAACAAACGAGCACAAGCGTTATTAAAACGAACCAATAATCGTGTTTTTATTTACAGTTGTACAAATCATACATTCAAGGCAGTCATACCATGTTTTCAGTTAATCCATTTTGCTAACAAGTTTGCAACTGCAAAATATTCAGTACACCATTATGGGGGGGGGGGGGAACCCTTGTCTAACAAGGATGAGGAACCATTTGGTTGCTGAACTACATCCAACTCCCATCAGCCCATGCAAGCATGGCCAATGGCCAGGAGTGGTGGGACTTGCAGTTCAGCAACATAAGTAGGGCCAAAGGCTCCCCATACTGGGCTTATACCACCTCTCAAACATCAGTTATCAGCTGCCTGTTATAAAAGTGGCAAAGACTTGAGTCCTATCGGGAGAATTCTGTCTGAACGCACGATAAACAATCACACGAAAGAGAGCAGGAGTACACTGCCAAGCCCTCCCACCATGTCGCTGTCTTCTGATGGCAAGTTGGAGAGTGATTTAAAACCTTGCTCTCCCTTGCATCTATGGACAGAATTAAAGGTCTGGTGTTTTTTTATGAAACCAAATTGTCTGAACTATATTTGGCTATGTTACATGTATTTTTTAAGGTGACCTTGTCCGAAAATCATTTGGCAGATATTTTTGCTAGAATTTAAACCTGAATTAGCAGAAAAGTTTGGTCTTCACCTGTAAATTGACATCAACTCTGATTTCTTCAGAAGTCCAGTTTCCACCTTCAATGTTTGAGCTCTGCTTATTTGACTTTCTGTTTCTTCCTTGCTTGAAACTGTTCTGTTTTATTCTTGACGGACTTGATTAGCATTGACAATGCAGGATCTATGGATTTCTTGGCCGCAGGCCCTGCCATATTGTTCCCTCCCCCAGCTGCCTCAGCAAAACCTTGTTCTCTTCGACGAGCCTTCTCCTCCAAAATCTTTTCCACTGCTTTTGTTTTCTTAAAGTTTGGATCCGAAGGATCCAAATTAAACAAATGAGAGGTATACATGGCTTGGAATCTGGCATCAGCAACATTAACCTGCGAAGAGCAAGAGAGGATGCTTGAACTGCAATAGCTAAAAAAAAGTAGGAGAAAAATGTGCCCTGCAGGATAGTTGTTAATCAAGAATCTAGATCTTAAGGAAATGTGAAAATGCAACAGCCTGTTTTAAATATTAATTTTGACCCATACAAAAAATAGGTTTATTTCATTCCAGGAAGGTGGTATTATTTGGGCATCAAGAAAGTCCTTGGAATTTCTAGATAGCATATCCGCACCCACCCCCCCCCCACCCCCGGCCTTATAAACACAAAAAAGGATGTAAAACTTTTTTGATTTCTGACATCAAGTTCAAGATCTGCAACTCAATCCTTTAACTGTCCCTTTGGATAGAATGATATAAAATGTGTTTTTGCATAAATCGTAATGTAGTTATTGATCTACTTTAACACAAAATGACTAGCACTGTTATTAGACTTCAATAGGAGGAAGCCCGTAGTGTTACCTGGAAGTCATCTGTCAGCAGTTCCTTCTTTTTCACCAATAGTTTCTTTTTCTTTTTGCTCAGGTTCTGCTGCTCCACTATCTTGTCATAATTGAAGTGTCTCCTTTCATCTTCCTCATCATCCATCACCAGCAGAGCCATTTCAGCCTGTTACAATCAAAACAGATAGGATCTGTTTGCACAACATTTCACCGAATATGGGCTGCAGATGTTTCTGTGCCTCATCTAAAGGTTTGGGTTGCTAATGCATAATAGCAAGAGCTATAATTGCCTCATCGGTGCCTGAATGACAGCCTACCAGCAACCCCCCAAGTAAGACACTCTGATCTTTCTAATGGAATACCAATATATAAGCATAATTAATAAATGTGAACAATAAAAGAAAAACTTCAAAACTAGATCATCCATCTCATGGTTTGTTTTTGCAGCTCATTACTTTTTGCAGACTTATTACCATGTAGTTTCCATTTTTAAGGCAAATACAACAAATCATTCTGCCACCCAATGCAACTTTGTAGTAATGTTAACACTCCTAACCCCAGGCCTTCATTCCGATGTCTAATCTTAATACTACTTCAGCATGTAATCTACTACCTTCTGCTTTTCCAGGTCATCTTCATTTTCTTGGGCATTTTCTTCTTTCTTGGACTTCTTATTTGAATCTAATTATAAGCACAACACAAATAAAAAGCAAGTTTTTAAATATCCAGGTGTAACCAGATTGGTGACACTGCAAGAATGTATGCACACTCTTCTGAATGCATGCTGCAGAAGACAGTTACTGTATTTTTCGCTCTATAAGACGCACTTCCCCCTCCTAAAAAGGGGAAATGTGTGTGCGTCTTATGGAGCGAATGCAGGCGGGAGGCTCTGCTCAGCTCTCCCTTTAAAGAGCCGAGTGGAGCTCTCTTGGGGGAGCCTTCCTCCTGCTGCCCTGGAGAGGCTGTGCGCGGCTATCCCATAAGCCAGAACAGCAAGAGGCTATCCCAGAAGCCAGATCCCTTTTGATGTTCTGGCTTCTGGGATTCAGAATATTTTTTTCCTTGTTTTCCTCCTCCTCCTAGGTGCGTCTTATAGAGCCAAAAATATGGTGCATTTATGTGAGAAAAGTCAGCTGGAAATCAACACAGAGACGCCTTTTCCACGGAGAGCCTTTTCCAGCTATGAGCAAGTAGAGGGAGTTGTTAAGAGTGGCGGTTGCCAACCTGGTGCCTACAGGCACCATGAGGCCCATGAAGGTTTTCAGAGGTGCCCCTGTGCAGGTGTTCTAGATCCGAGCTTTCATTTTTTAAAGAAGCAAGTCTCTAACCCTCTTAGAAAGAAAGTTATAGGGAGAAATGTGCAGGTACCTTCTAAAGGATTTCTTTGCAACGAGAGTGGTGTAGCTACCTTTTATATTTTTCCTGGTACTGAGGAATGTTCCCTGTTGTTAGTAGGAAGAAACAGCATCAGTGTGTGTGATCTTCATAGTTAGGGACAGCAGGACATGGCAGACTTCCCAAGGGTGGTTCTCTCTCTTATTTTGTGTTCTGCCACCCTCCCCATGACAGCCATTTTGTGTTATGCCATGCCTCACAGCAGCCATCTCAGGACCAGGACCTCCAAGATTTCTTCAAAACTGAAAATGTGTCCACGAGTCCAAAAATCTGCATTGATTTATTTCTAAAATCTAAATTTAAAACCTATATTCAAAAGGATGTATTTTTTTACCGGTTCCCAATAGGTGCTTGTTAGGGGAAAGGAAACAGTTTCCTTCTGAAAGAATCAAGCTTTTAAAATATGAAGTTAAGTGTGTGCCACATACAAGCTGCATTCACACAGCAATAAGTGAGACTTTCTGGCTTAATGTGGTTTATCTGAAACAAGCAGCGTGCATGCTGCCTGATTGTTCCAGTTTCTCTCCTCCCCTAGTGCAAGCAGGTTAAACAATAAAGCTACAAGTTTTAAGAAACCCTGGCTCCCTATTATCTCTGAACCAAGTAATGGGGTTTACTGTTCCCTAGCAAGTCATGATTACCAAGTCCACAACAAACTATGGTTTCAGTTTGGCTAGTGACCATCCATTATCCTTTGGTCAGGCAGAACAGGAATCAAAGGATTCCTGGTTTCTTTATGTTACTCATGCCAGGTAAAGTGAGAGTGACTGGGCAGTGAGCACAAGGAAGTCTGACTAATTGTTACAGGTGAACACAGTCATACGATTAAGAAGAACCCAAATCACGCTCCAGGCAGCATAAGAAAGGGGCACCCCTCTAAAATTATGTGCAGTATACATTACGTAAAAGCTGCTCTTTTTCTGCCCCATGCACAGAACTCATTCTAACCAATTCCCCAAAGAAATATGTTCTTCTGTCGAAGTTGCCTATGGCATGAAACATTTTGAAACAAGCAAACCACAATGCTGCATGTGTCTCCAAGACTTCGTTTCCAGGAATCAAAAGAGAACAACAATCAAATCAATCATCTTATAAAAAACTGTTCAGGTATGATAAAACACAAATATATTATGTGTTCGTAACAGTAACAATCCCTTGCAGTTTGTATGAACTTTGTTTTATAGGCCAATCAGGCCCAATTGCTCTCAATTTGTTTTCCATCATCGGCCAGTAGGAAATATGCATTTTGTCTTTTGTTGAAAAAATAAATTCACTACTGAAAAGTTAATAATCAGGTTGGAACAGTCATGAAAGTATTTTATAGCAATGCCTTGGAGCCAGGCTGAGTTGTAGCAATTTGCTATTTTACTTGATGTTCCACAGCCAGCAGATTGCTTTTTCAAACCTTAAAACGCATTTGAACATTAAATGAAACCTTTAAAACATTGTTAGAGAGAAACACAAAATGCATTACTTGAATTATTAGCTGCATATATGTGCTCAAATTCCAGCTACAACACTTAGTTTCATAAAACTCAATGGGTGTTGCTTAGGGCATTTAAGAACATCCTAAGGAAAAGATCTGCAGTTGCCCCAAAACTTTCAGCTACAATCTGGAGAGCTGTCTAAGTTAACTTGGCTGTTTAATAGGGATTTGACTTGTTTTAAATTGTAAGCCACCTCCTGGGCAAACTGCTTTAGAACCTTGGGGGCATTTTCCAAAGAAGCTTATGGAAGCAGCATGGAGGAATGCTTTTCAAAAGGAAGTTATAAATCTTGCTAGGGACTCCAGAAATAGCTATTTGAAATATGGTTGCTTTCATTGTCAGGAACTATTGCAGTAAGGATCAGTTCTACAATGGTTACTTTAATGTAACATAGTACAACCACCTATCAACTGCAGAAGGGTATATATAGTTTATTTTTCTCAACGTTGAAGGAACATAAGAATTTACTTAGCTGTGAATTCTCCTCCTGTTTTATTTCCCTAGACGGTGGTCTAGAATTCAGGGGTGGGGTCTTTAGAAGAGAGGTGGACTAGGAGGTATTTCCCATATTGCCATTATATCATGCTCTATTTTTACAAAGCAGAAGTCAAAATCCCCTACCCCAGCTCGCTTGACAGAAGACACATAAGTAGGCTAACAGGTGGGAGCTGATCAAATCGTAAAGGAAAGCAACACAATTTAGCCGTGGGCGTGGGGGAGAGAAGCCATTTCACTCACTAAGGAAAATTATACTGAATTTTGATGCTAGGGTGGGAGAAATATTGGGGCTCTCCTTGTGCGATGTTTTAGCTTCCTAAAAATAGTATTTTATCAGTTTGCCAGATGACCTGGATGCTACATTCCTCCCTAACATCTCCCCTTCAAAAGCACTAATATTCTCCCACTATTGGCAAATGACAACTACTGAATGTTCCTGCTCCTCCCATCCTGGTGACATTCCTTCGCTCATGCTTCACTGGGCAGCCACTCTAGCAGGACACATTACACAGGAAGAAGCTTCTAAGTATTACCGTATTTTTCGCCCTATAGGACGCACTTTTTCCCCCCTCCAAAAATGAAGGGGAAATGTGTGTGCGTCCTATGGGGCGAATGCAGGCTTTCGCTGAAGCCTGGAGAGCGAGAGGGGTCGGTGCGCACCGACCCGTCTCGCTCTCCGGGCTTCAGGAGAGCCCCAGCGCCAGCCCCACAAGGTCGGGGGACAGAGGGAGGTGGAACGCCGCCATCCCGCTGTCTCCCGAAGTGGTTTGGAGGCTGACGGCGGGGAGACCCCACCGCCAGCCCCGCAAGCTCCGGGGACAGTAGGGAGACGCAGCACGTCTTCCCGCTGTCCCCGGACCTGATCTGAAGGCGGGGAGAAGAGCGCTTCTCCCCGCTGCCTGCCCCGCAAGCTCCGGGGACAGCTGGGAGGCACAGCGCGTCTTCCTGCTGTCCCTGGCCTGATCTCAAGGCGGGCGGCAGGGAGAAGAGCGCTTCTCCCCACTGCCTGCCCCGCAAGCTCCGGGGACAGCTGGGAGGCGCAGCACATCTTCCCACTGTCCCCGGACCTGGTCTGAAGGCGAGCTGCGGTGAGAAGAGCGCTTCTCCCCGCTGCCTGCCCCGCAAGCTCCGGGGACAGCTGGGAGGTGCAGCGCGTCTTCCCGCTGTCCCCGGACCTGGTCTGAAGGTGGGCTGCGGGGAGAAGAGCGCTTCTCCCCGCTGCCGGCCCCACAAGTGCCTGGGGGGGAAATAATTTTTTTTTCTTTATTTCCCCCCCAAAAAACTGGATGCGTCCTATGGGCCGGTGCGTCCTATGGGGTGAAAAATATGGTATTTTTTTTCTACCTGTCCTACTAATGCTGCCTGACTCTCAAGGATTTCCTCCGCCTAGTTTCTCTAGCTCTTCTCAGTTTAGAATTTCCTATAAATGCCTCGATTTCTAAACCACCTCCTAAGCATCATTTTAGTTGCTCCCTCCTATAACTTCTCCTGTTTTCAATATCCTTTCTGACACAGAGTGACCAAAAGTGTATCAAAAAATTATTATATACTGGAAAATGCATTTGCCACTTTTTTCCATGGCATGCTGATCTGACATTCACTGAGCTTTCTAAAATGAACCAAAATTATTCTGCTGCATGGTTGCAATCCATTTAGAGCCTCGTCAGCAAGCATGGTTAGATTCCTAAGGGTTCATCATCACATCTTATGACTGAAGGATCTTTAGGAGCCTTTGGTAAGGGAGTTTGTCAACATTTCTATGAAAATCCTAATACGTGATATCTACTTGACCACCTTTCACAATAAATGACATCTAACCTGCTTTCCCAAGTTCCTCAGCAAAGTATGGGTCGTTCAAATCAACATCAGATGGGCATTCATCTTCCGTTAGTGTTTCGTCAGCAGCCGCCTGAAACAAAACACATTGCATTTCAGTTGCTAAACACCAGCAGTAATACAAGTAAATGTAATATACAAACACAAAGTTTCCAAATAAAAGTTTCAAGGAGTAACCTCAGGGCGGATATTTGCAACACAGGAGGAAAGTGATTTAAAATGGCTGCTTTCACCGAAATCAAAGCCACTATAGGACTGTAGGCATCAATATGGGCTTCATTAACAATTACATGAACACATACACAAATTTCAATGCTTTATTAACTTTTGGGTGATTGGTATCATGGAGAATAGCTCTTTCTCCCTTCCTCAGAACTCTTCCAACAGTGAGCAGCTGCCGTGCAGTAGACAAGCAACTAATGTGTTTGCAAGAACACATCTATCTTCCAGCTGTCTCATACAAGAGGTACCATTTGCTACTAACCTTCTCCTAGTGATCAACAATTGTTCCTAAACAAGTAGCACCCGCTGTACCTTTCTGTATAGAAGCCTCTGCTAGCTGGATAGAGCTGGAAGATAAGTACAGTGGTGCCTCGCAAGACGAAAATAATCTGTTCCACGAGTCTCTTCGTCTAGCGGTTTTTTCGTCTTGCGAAGCAACCCTATTAGCGGATTAGCGCTATTAGTGGCTTAGCGGCTATTAAAGGCTTAGCGGCTAAAAGGCTATTAGCGGCTTAGAAAAAGGGGGGGGAGCGAAAAAAATCGCAAGACTCGCAAGACGTTTTTGTCTTGCAAAGCAAGCCCATAGGGAAATTCGTCTTGCGAAGCAACTCAAAAACGGAAAACCCTTTCGTCTAGCGGGTTTTTCGTCTTGCGAGGCATTCGTCTTGCGGGGCACCACTGTATTACCAAACCTTCAGCAATAGCTGCCCTGGAGAAAGCATTTGTAGCAGAAGTTACTACAACTCCAAACAGCCCAGCAAGCATGACTAATAGTTCAGCAAAATCTGGAAGGCCAAAGATTCCCAGACCACTCTTTAGAGAGTAGCTGGAGACATATATCTTTTGACTTATGTTTAGGATAATTACAAAGAGAATATATGGAAGAGTAAAGCAGTGGGTGTGTTATGAGAAATTCGGGTGCAACTTCACACTTGACCTTCAAGATCAATGTGTGGGCTAAAAAGGAAATCACAATCTCTCAGCCTAACCTCTCTTCCAAGACAAGTTATGAGGATAATATGATGCAATCTCTCTATAATGCCTTGTTCTTCCTTGTAGGAAGTGCAGGTTATTAATGCGATAAAGCAAATAATAATTTAGGATTCAATGAGGCAAACAAGAAAAATAATCAATGAACTTCTAATAAAGACATTGAACCCAAGGTCATAACCATGTGTGCAATGTCTGGGGCAAATGCTACATTTTCAACAATCGCTGATCCAACACAGAATTGTCTTACAAAAAAATAACCTATTAGAATTGTGAGATCAGCATCTCCAAAATAAATGTACTCCGAAGCACAGTTGTCTGTTCAACAGAATTCCTTGGCTGACATATTCAGAAATAATGGACATCCATATGGAGTCAACACTCTCAGAGTAATAAAAGGCCAGCCTCAAAATTAAGCAATGTCTGGCACCCCTCTTGTTGACTTTAGAGGAACAATGAAGAAAAGTCTATCATCATGGGGACACTGTCATTAGTTTTCCAAAAGAAACCCAAAATGTATATTTCTTTGAAGACTTTCCCAGCATTAGAGATACGCTTTTAAAATTCTGCAGGCAAAATTTGCTCACCACTTAAGACTTTGGACAAAGCTACAATTCTCATCCAAGGCTTGGCAGCTCCAACATGATATTTCAGCAAGAATGACCATTCCCTTTAGCAATGCAGAACTTATCAAGGACACAGGATCAAAGGAGGATTTTCTGGATAGGCCAATACACTTATTTTCCTTTAATCACAACTTAAAAAAAATAATCACATGGCTGCCAAAGGCAATGAAAAGCGCTCAGGCCTGTTATGACTTAGTGCTACCTTGATCAATCACTTGCCTACTCTCAAGCTTTCTGTTAAAGCACTTTGAAAATAATGTATCTAAGAGGAATAGAACACAAGTTGTAAAGCTGTGTTCCAGGGAACTCATGGTTCCTTTGAGGCTTTTATCAGGGGTTCCTCAGCAACAGTGGGAAAGATTCCACATGAACCTGCCAGTACAGCAAGACAGTACCAGATGCTCTCCTCAACATGCCTGCCTCCGCTAGCTGAGATGTAGTGAATGGCAACGGAGCTGAGCCTTTTCAGCAATGCCAACTTGCTTGTGAAATGCCCTCTCTGAGAGGCTCACACTGAGTTGAACTGGCATATAAGTTTGCTTTTTAAGCTGCTGCTTTTACTTTTGTTATTTTATAAGATTAGTTTTTGCTGTACAATGTCTGCGGCTGCTCTGGAAATCATTTTTCGAAGGGTATGATAGAAAAATTGTAAATTAATTAATATCAAGTTTCTCTGGATAACATTGCATCCACTGTTACTAATCTCCTCTTGCCATGAGCAGCCCCAAAGGTTGTGTTGGCTTTCCAAGCTATACATGCAGCCATTCCTTGACAGATGAGTCACCCTGGAAAAGGGTTCCCCTAAAGAAAGTACATTTGTAGGACACTTGATTAAAGTCTTTACTACCTTCTGCTTTTTCTTCAGTTTCCTTTTCTCTTTCTTCTTATCCAGAAACTGTTCCCATGGTGTCAGCGCATCCTTCCCTTCCAACTTGTTTCTTACCATTTCTTCAGCGCTTTCTTTAAGTCCTGAGGTAAATCAGAAAAATACATGTAGCCAAGTTAGCTCAATACCTGTATCTGAAAATCTGGAGGCAGATAAACATCACACCCGCATGAAGCTACTGTCCAAATAGCAAATCAGAAAATACTACTGGTGAACCAACTGAGGGGTTAGAGAGACGGGACTTCATTCTTACTTAGCGGCAATGTCTCAGTGGGTAGTGACAAGCAACATTTCTCTGTCTCTCCAGTACGTTCCTTTGAGGAATTCTGCAGAATGCCATCTCATCACCTTATCTATTCTATCTATCATCTATCTATCTATCTATCTATCTATCTATCTACACACACACGGCACCATTATGAAAGGCTGGAGTCTCTAATATGGAGTTAACAGCTAGTGTGCACACTTTCTCCCTCCCCCAGTTCTAGCAGTTTTTGTACTGTAGAAAAATGGACAATGAATATGGCAGGGGCATCCCTAACAACTGAGACGGAGCTTTTCTTGTCCTCCATCAATAGTCTTGAAGTGCCCCTGGATGTGCAGCTGAATCTGGAAGCTCAAACTGCAACTGTAGCCAAGATTGGCCTTCCTCTACTCCAGCTGGGAAGAACTGCAATCCTTTTTGCTTGTTTAAGATCTAGAAATTGTGAGTCACATTATATTTCATTTCAAGGCCAGCTGGTTGGCTCTACTTGGGGCTGTGCTCAGAAACTGTGGAAGCCCACTTCTGATTGCAAATGCAAAAATGCAAAGTGCTCTAGATATAGACTAACAACTTGAAAAATACAGTTAGGTAAAAACAGCAAAAAATGCACATACGTGCCTTTGGCATAAGGGTGATGATAGTGCTCCATGACTAATTTTTCTCTTGAAAAATGCTCTGCCACCCAAAAAGTTTGAGAAACCATTGCTCTGGAGGCTGCACTGATGGACACCTACCCCTTGTCATCGAGGCGCAAATTAAAGAGCTGCTCTTGACAGTTAACAACAGATTTATATGCAGGCTGCTAAAATTATTTAATCTGCTCTGTTGTTTTTAATTTATCCATTTCTTTGATGGTGCTTTAGTATGCATTTATCACATTTTGAAGGTTAGGTCTATTTGTTTATTATACTTTTACAGTTACTTGGGCTAGACTGGGGCAATAGATAAATGAGAGACAGAAGGCTTCTGGTATAACAGGAAATCCAAGATTCAAAGCACTAATTTAGTTATTTAAGAATTATTTTAGAAAAATCAGAGAAATTTAAATAAAGTGGCTATTACTAAAATCAAGTGCAAATTAGTCAGAATAGATAGGCAGACAGAATTTATCAAGTTCTTCTTATATTAATTTTCATTAGCAGCTGCAAGAACAGAAAGATCAAAAGATGATGATGTTGCTATCCTCTACCACTGTATACTCCCAGAGGGAGTTGAAATCATCAGCCCACTAACTTGAGATTGTCATCTCTCTAGTTCCCTTTCGTCATCTTTGTGCACAAGAAGAAATCTATAAGGGTAACATTCCCAGACCTGTCAACAGCTAGAAAAAGTTGCATATCATATTGAAATGTTTGATTGAAAGAAACACCCTCTTCCCCCAGCCCCATCCAATGACGACTTCATAAGGCCAAAAAATAAAAAAACCATATCCCATGGAATAGCATACTACTTGAGTTACAAGACACTGGAAAAGAGCATAAATCAATTTCTTCTAAAATTCAAGTTACCTATCATTAAATGTATTATCTTCTACACACTCTCTTGTCCAGTTTTCTGCTGCAGCCCCTTGTACCCCTGAAAATCTGCTTCTGAGGGTTTAGAGCCTTCAAAATGAAGAGCTGAAGCTGGGGTAGAAGAAAGGCTGGTAGAGTGTAGCAACTTTTGATCCAAGAGTGTGCTCTTTTACATTTACACACATGCACACTCTGTTTGGACATAATGCCAAACCATGGTTTGATACTAAACATAGTTTAGTGCTAACCAGTTTGACCCTGCAAACCAAGACTTCAAACTAGCAAGGTTTGGTGTTACATTTGAACCAACACACACAGTTCTTTATAATGGCCATTAAACAGAGGGCCATATCTCTATTTCGAAGGTTTAGCTTAGAAACTAGTAATCTTTAAAAAATCTTAACGAGGTTCGAAGAGATCATTTACCGGTAAACGATGGAACTGCATGCACAGCCAAAACTTTCTTTTCCAAGTTTAATTGCTACAGCTACAATTCCTGTTTTTCTAAACAGAACCTTAAACGCGGCGTGTCGTGTTGTGCTAGCAGTGTAATGCTTTTTCCAGCACACGGGAAAATAATAATTCTGACATCCAGGAGGACACACTGCCTTTTCACCTAAGACCAAAACTATCATGTCCCTTTAATTACATTTTTACTGAGTTCCACTGAGATCATATGTTGTTGTTGTTGTTTATTCGTTTAGTCGTGTCCGACTCTTCGTGACCCCATGGACCAGAGCACGCCAGGCACTTCTGTCCTCCACTGCCTCCCGCAGTTTGGTCAAACTCATGCTGGTATCTTCGAAGACACTATCCAACCATCTCGTCCTCTGTCGTCCCCTTCTCCTTCTGCCCTCCATCTTTCCCAACATCAGGGTCTTTTCCAGGGAGCCTTCTCTTCTCATGAGGTGGCCAAAGTATTGGAGCCTCAGCTTCAGGATCTGTCCTTCCAGTGAGCACTCAGGGCTGATTTCCTTCAGCATGGATAGGTTTGATCTTCTTGCAGTCCATGGGACTCTCAAGAGTCTCCTCCAGCACCATAATTCAAAAGCATCAATTCTTCGGTGATCAGCCTTCTTTATGGTCCAGCTCTCACTTCCATACATCACTGAGAACATATACTATCCTTATATAACACAATATTCTGACAACTGCAAATATACTAAATTATTATTATTATTATTATTATTATTATTATTATTATTATTAGCAGTACTAATGTTATTAGTAGTAATAGTATTTTCTCACCCACCCTTCATCATATGGTCCCACAGCAGGTTACCACAATTTTTAAAATGCAGTATCAAAATCAGCTAAAAGAAATTACAACCAAGAGAATGAAGTGGATCCCATAAGAAGATATGCGAGATGTCAAAGGCCAGGGGAAAGATAGGTGTCTTCAGCTGTTAATAATTTTGGAAACAGACTGATATGTGTGTTCATGTGAGATATATGGAAATAGTGTTTTTTTTAAAATGTACTATTGTGATCTTTATCACCTTGTTGTGGTGTTTTATTGAGTGACTACTACCCAGAATGAGATCGCTGGATTGACGGACAGATATAAATACTTCAAATGAAAATAAATAAATAAACTGAATGAGTTTTCCAGATTTCTTAATCAACTGCCTAGAAAATGAAATCAATTGCTCCATCTGGAAAAGTTGGAGTGGAAGGAACAGCCTTTTCATGAAACCAGAAAGGGACTGAACTTCCTCCACAGATTAGATTGTCTTAGAAACAGCCAGCCAAATAACTTTCCAAGAACAAATGTGATTGTCTAAGGGGTGACAATATACAAAAAGCGTAAGAAATAAAATGAGCTGTTTAGAGCAAACAGAACATATGCTTAGAGGCTGCAGGAGGCACAATATATCCCTATGTTCATCGATTTAAAAATGCACACAGTCACAAAACTTTCTTATTTAACTCTTCATACTGAAAATTCAGTGGAACTGAAGATAATGAACTGCATGCAGAGCCTCCCCACGGCAAACCACCACTGCAGAGAAGCACACTGTGGACCATGTTTTCATGGTTTGTGAGCCACTGCAAGGACAGAAATACCTTTGCTGAAGGGTAAGATATAAATCTCTTAATAAATAAACAAGAACAGAACACAGACATGGAGTGTGGAGAACTGACAGACACTGTTCATTCCCCTTCCTTCTTTTTATCCACATGAGACTGGCTGTGAAAGTCCTTGTGTTAAGACGTTCCCAACTCACATGGAAACTGCCATTGTCTAAAAACTGGTTTTGACAGCTGCCACAGAGTGGCTGCTCCATAATGCAAGCCATTTGTTGCAGTAGCATCCCATAGGATTTGGAGACAGGAGAGGACTGACTGTGGGGGGCAACAAGGAGATTTTATTCACCCTGTTGCAAACTTTCTGCCTGGAGGTTTGCAGGGGGACCTTTCTTCTTTTCAATTTGCAGTTTAAGAACACCGTGCTTTTTAGAAGCAACAGTCAAAAGAGAGCAGCTGAAAGTGACCTGTGCATGGTTTTCAATCAGAAGACATGAATTAACATTGGGTGTGCATTCAACACTCAGGAATCAACTCTAACCTTCAACAGGGGTGAAATGACGAATACTAAGGAGGTAGAAGAAGCAAAGAGCTGCATTTGTATGTGGAGACATTTGGCAGCTGCCATTTTGAAAAATGAAACACCATCGTGCCTCGATAGCAACTCTCTCCCATTTGCATATTAAAGGCACAAAGCCCCACTTTGGGTCATAGCTGGCAACTCCATCTTTCTTGTGGGGTGGGGAAAACCTCAAGGCTACAAATATAATAGTCAAGGAGTATTCTTCAGCAGCTCACCAACCCCTAATATTATTTCCCCTAAACAGTGGTTCAAAGCTCAGCCAAAAATAAGTCCCAAAAGATAGAGAAAAAGAGTGAAAGAAATGTTAGCCTTGAAAAAATATTTCAGTACCTTTTGAAAGAGTAACTTGGAAATTAAAGAATTATAATTAATTTGCACTGTTGAAATGGTTACATATTTCTATTGCTGAATTTAAGCTGGTCAGTGTTAAAAAAGAGAAAGGGATTAAGGAACACTGCAAATAGTATAAGCCATCTACCTGGAACCCATTTGATTTCCATTTCCATATCAGTTTCTTGGTGTTTCTTTTCTTTTTCCTGGATACTCCTAAGTAGTTCTCTGTACTTTGCTATTTGCTCTTCATCATCCTTGGAGTGTTGCTTATGTTTATCACTGTCTGTTGTGTGCTTTACACCAAAATCTTTAAAAGAAAGAGAAAAAGAGGAACGTCCAATAAATAGGTATAGAAGTCTAAAAAGGAGAGACGGCTCATCTTAAGCATAATACACCAGGGATGTGTAATTGGAGGCCTTCCAGATGTTGGACTCCAATTTCCATCAACCCCAGCCAGCATGGTCAGGGATGATAGATGATGTAGTTGGTCAACATCTGGAGAGCCACAGGTTCCCCAGCCATAGTCTGCACAGAATGGCTCTTCCGGATTTTATACTGGGACCTTTTGCACGCAGAGCATACCATATCACTGAGCCACTGTCAATTACCCTGAATTTAAATAGGTATTGTATTTGGAAATGAATAGTAGTCAGAAACACTTTTCACCAGCTCCACCTTGTGGAAAACTAACACAGATTTTCCTCAATAATTGCATTCTTAAATTTAATCAAAATTCAGTTTATCCTTTGAAAAAAAATATTTATAAAGCACAGCAAACCAAGATGAAATGGAATGACTGCATAAACATCTTAATAAATATATAGAAGAGAGTAAGAAGCACAGAATATTCTTCTCATCTGATCACACTTTTTACTATTCTAACAGCTGAAATTCATTTCCCCCCTGTTTGTGCTTAATGCCACAATAAACACACTGGCTAGAATTCTGTCATGTACCCAGTAAATCAATGAATAAAACATCAGGATCATGTTAAGGAAATGGCTGTGTATTTTTCTATTAAAAGCTTCTTTCTGAAAACATAATTAAATTCAAGAACTTTCCAATCTGGAAATACACCAAAAAGTCTTTGGTCTGGTGACACAGCTTAAACCACCTTTTTTAACTACAGTGTACTTTCATGTAGCCTGGAGACCACAATGAATACATAATGCAATAAAAATAAGACATTTTCTGGAGCAATAATCAACAATAGTAGATTAAAAGTATTCTTTCTGCATTGTGATGCAGCTGTGATAAACTGTACGGAATAGACAGAAAACGGAAGTATTGCTGGTTTATATGTTCACTGAGTAACGGGGATGTTAATCTATCAACTTCCAAGTGATATCCCATTTGATACTCCTAAAGAAAAAAAATGTGCTTGTTTATTTCATGCGCACACACACTCCACATAATACAATTAGTTCCCTCTGTATACCATATAGATCAGTACATCGAAAACTCACTGAAACAACTGGGGGGAAAGTATATGGGAATATCAAAGTCCCATCACAATGCTTAAAAAAGTTATATGGGCAATCAAACTAAGTACCTTTCAGCTATATTTTGGGTTTCTCTGTATTAAAAATCAAAGTGACAGCCCTTTGGTGTAATGGTGTGTGCCACTGTGAACTTTTTACATGCCTGACTTCCACAGATCATGGCATCAGTATAGATGACATAACTGGATATAAAAAGAGAACCATATTATGGAACTATATCTGACCTGGGTACTAGTCCTTATCCTAATGTGACCTGGAAGTTATAAGTAAATATTCTGCTAATTCCTAATACTTAATGTAAAGATCAGAACACTAGTTCTTTGTTACCAGCAAAGATTAATTATCACCTTCTGTAGGAAAGAAGGGTTTCTACATAGACAATAGAATCTTCCTTTGAAGGTAAACTCAGGGTTCAGGAAGCATGCAAGATAACCAATTTTGTCATTTATCCCTAGGGTCATGCCTTTTGAACCACAAACTAGGCAAGGTAAAGAAACGGCAAACAGACAGGAACTTGTAGGAAATAAACAGTGGAACAGGAATGAAGATGTTATAATCATCCCTTCCCCATAAGCATATATTAGCTTAGTACTTAAACCCCAGGTTTTCAAAGGCCGGGTAGCTCAAAAGCTCAACAGGGACCCTCTTTTAACGCCACACTCTGAAGTATAAGCCCTATCCTTCATGGGTCCACAGACCAAGGAATTGGTGAGAGAGACATTGGAGCCTTCCTGGTACAGGATATTGATGGGGAAAGCAGCACTGTCACAGCCCTCTGATTCCATGACTTGGGTTCCACCCTCTTCAGGGCAAGTATACCCTTCCTCGCCTTTACTTTTCATGTGGGCGCTGTGGCAAATTGTCACACTCACTATCTCTAGGCTGTTGATAGGGATCCTGTTACTCTTTGAAGAGTGTTGTGTGATTGATGCCCACTTTTATCTGTAACCTCGCTGTTTGAAAACAGCATCCATGCACGCTTGTCACTTTTATTCCAAATAAGAAATCTATCCTTATTTATTTCCTATTGCATGAACTTCTTGTAGGCATTTGATTAAGGTTAGAAATGCATATTCATAATGGATGCATGTTTTAACTGCAGCAAAAGTCTATTGGGAGTGTGCACAAGAGTACATGTGAGTGCTGGATATACATGTGGGTTCAGACACACACTTTGTAAGAATGGCAGAAGATTTAATAATAATAATAATAATAATAATAATAATAATAATATCTTTATTGTCATTGCCCCCTCTCGGGGACAACGAAATTACTTTTTTTTTTTTAAGTTTTAAAGTTCTCACCGCACTTTCTCTGTCATCCCTGAGGAAGTAGAGAAAGATGGATCACTAATGCACCAGTAAAGGGCTCAAGCCTGTAAGATGCATACCAAATGTTATCCACAAATGCACACATCAGCTGGCAAGGCTCAGTCTTCACAACCCACAGAATATTAAGTTTCTCTACAACTGCACGATTTCAGGAACCCAATTCCAAGGAAAAGAAACATTTCCATGACCGGTAACACTAGCCAGAGCTGCAGCAATTCAATTGTTCCCAAGGATCAAAGAAAACATATTCCAACCACACACAAAACTCCAAAACCTTGTTTACAGAATGATGGTTAATACAAATTGTTCGGTCTCAGCCACCTGTCAAATTTGCCCCTCCAGGGGTGGGGAAATAAGGATCTGGTTCCCTATCCATGATTAGCTTGCTTGGGTCCCAGTACGTTTCTGAGCACAATTCAAAGTGTTAGTGCTGACCTTTAAACCCCTAAACGGCCTCGGCCCAGTATACCTGAAGGAGCATCTCCACCCCCATCGTTCAGCCCGGACACTGAGGTCCAGCCCGGACACTGAGGTCCGAGGACCTTCTGCCGGTTCCCCCTCACTGAGAGAAGCAAAGTTACAGGGAACCAGGCAGAGAGCCTTCTCGGTAGTGGCTCCCGCCCTGTGGAATGCCCTCCCATCAAAGGAATAAACTATCTGACGTTTAGAAGACATCTGAAGGCAGCCCTGTTTAGGGAAGTTTTTTAATGACTGATGTTTTAATGTATTTTTAATCTCCTGTTGGAAGCCGCCCAGAGTGGCTGGGGAAACCCAGCCAGATAGGCGGGGTATAATTAATAAATTATTGTTGTTGTTGTTGTTGTTGTTGTTGTTGTTGTTGTTGTTGTTGTTATTAACAACACTGAACCTTCACAAATGCAAGTACCTTGCTGTTCTTCCTCCTCTTCCTCACTTGATGAAGCCAAGTATGCTTGGAAGTCCATGTCCAGAAGTTCATCTTTTTTAAATGTTCGGCTGAGGGAAGTCACTCTCTCATGATCTGTCTCATCCCACGTGATGTCTACCTTAAGACGGAAAAAAATATTGTGCTTTACCTTCAAGTCGCACACGTGTATGCATATACATATAAAGACTGGCTTAAAACAAACTCAATCCTCACGCTAGACCACAACAAAGACTCAACCTTCATATTCAGAATTAAAATTTATGGCTGTCAGCATTTCTTGCTGCACTCTTAAGGGATTTCAGAACAGCCCCATTCCCCAGTATGTCCACGATTTTACACAAGTGAAAAGCAGCAGTGAAGAGACCGGGGAGAAAAGAAAATATGTAAGGACAAATGAGCAAGGGCTGGAGATAAACCCCCAGAAATTTAGTTCCAACTGCAAATGAAATATTAAAAACTGAAGAGCTAGTGGTTTCTAAGTGTTGTTTTATGACCTGGTCAGCACTCTGTGCATGGATTAAGTGTTTACTGCCTTGCCAAAGAAACTTCCTTTGAAAGAAAGAAGAAGTAATTTGAATTCTAAAAATATATTTTATTCTTGGATATTGTCCTGATTGGCAGTAGTGGTGGACACTATCATTATCACCATCATCCTGTCCTACGGTTTTAGCAGGGTGTAGAGTAGGGCTCAGTTTACTACTTTTGCATTTATTCACATGGTTCCTGCTAGAGTGTCTGAATTCCTGACAGAGTCCTGTTTAAATTCAGAGACCGTCTATGCTATTCTTTTCATGTATTGCATTTGAAGTCCTTTATGCCAGTACCAGAACTTATTATGTTGATATATTGGTATTTTTTGTTTGACATGTTCCCTGTTCAGAGTTAAGAGTTACTTATGTTTTTGTTCAATTATACTGGAATGCAGTGGTTTATGGAAATACACAGCAAATACCATAAACCACAGGAGACGGGGTGAAAATGGGGTCATAAAACATGAAATGGGTATATCAGAGGTGAAGCAAAAGATGTATTCTTATGCTATTTAATATATGTAAAATAAAGTTTAGAAGTGAGATTTCTCTCCTAGAATGTTCTGGTTGATTGTGAAACAAAACAGATCACTTTTAAGTCAACACAGAATTCATAAGGCTCTCTGATTTTAGCAACAACCAATGTGGCAACAGAGTTAGAGCACTGGACTTAAGATTCTGAGTTCCTAACCCTGAGCTCCTAACATACAAACGCAATTGTATTCAGAACATGCTTTGCAACAAGCATCAGCTACGTGTCACCTTTGTTCCAGGATTTACAAAATGCAAACTTTCCAGTAATGAAAGGTATTTTTTCCACTTGTACTATACACACAATTTTAAATATATATATGTGGAGACTGATGTGTGCAACAAATGATTGGTTACAAAGAGAGAAAAACAGAGTGCTTAGAAAAAATGACTCTGTAAACAAATTTACACAAATTCTTTGGAAAAAAATGTCTGTATCCATTTTTTTCCTGAAGTGGAAGAACATGTTAATCAGATGTTTAAAAGATGTGACTAACATGTTTGGAGTAATACAAATTCAACAGGCACATTAAAAACAGCTAGCACAAGAGAGAGAAAGGCTATACAGAATGTATTTTAAGCTTTTTTAAAAAGAAAACTCCCAATCAACACTGCCAAAAGCACACACACACACCGAGCGAGGTCATGAACCCACAGAAATCCAGTGCACAAGTCCCCAGGAAGATAATACATGAGAACTTCGCTTTTGATAACTGCATCAACACAAAATGGATCATTCCTGCCTTTCTATCTACAGTGTGATCACTGCTGTATTTACAATCTTTACAAATTAAGAACTCGGAAAACTAAACAAGTTCCAAAGGGCTACAAAAACACTGTTAAGGTACCTTTGAAGTCGACACAGCAGCAGATGTGAAGTACTTTGGTTTATAAGAGTCCACTTCTGAGGCCACATCCTTTGGCTCGTCATCAAATGTCACATCATCTGGAATGAATCTTAAAAGCCAAAAAGAAAAGGATTTGTTATTAAAACAGATACAAGGAGGCTTCAAAGGAACAAATGTTGATAGGCCCAGCCTCTCTCTTAATTAATATTAGCTGTTATTAGATATATTAGAAAACAGTTGTTGTTCAGTCCATGGTTTGGGTGAAGAGACAAAAGTGTTACATTTCACTCAGCACAGGGAATGTCTGGTCAGCTCCAGTTTAACCCCACTGAAAAAATGGTGACACCCCAATTACTGTTGCTGAAGGCGAAGAACCTGTAACTCACAAGGCCTCGAAGGGTAGGAAGCCAGCAAACAAACAGGCAATAGCTTAGTGGAAGAGCACAGATGTTGGATGTGAAAAATCCCAAGTTCAATCCCCGGGACCTCCAGAATCTTGGGAAGCAGAGCTGGAAAAGACCTGTCAATGAGACCCTGGAGGCACACGGCCAGACAGAATAGCAGACTATACTGAGTTACAACAGACCATTGGTGTGACTCTCTTTAAAAGGTAGGTAAGTATGTTTAAGGTGAAGTTCAATTTATTTTATTTATTAGTTAACTTTATATATCACCCTTCATCCAAGGATCACAGGGTGGTAGCTGTATTGCTGGTTAAATGTTTAATGGTTATTGTATTTGTTTAAAAACCAATTAAAATTTGTATTTAAAAAAGGATCACAGGATACGTTGCAGTATAAAAACTACAAAAATACATAAAATAACAAACAAAACCATAGCTCCACCTCTCTGCAGTTGTCACAGAAAGGACCAGTTAACATCATCAGCACTGAGAGTTGTGCATTAACCATCCTCTGGTCAAACTGTTCAGCATTTCAGTCGCTTACAAAGCAAATACTTTCCCCGATATCCAGTGAAACATCACCAACTCCAGTGATGAGTGAAAGAAACTTAGGAGGGACATACTTAATGGCTCTCTGCTTATAGCATTGACACTGACAGTGAAAGAGCATGACACTCTAAAAACGTAAATTCAATTTGGGATGCAACATTAAAACACAACTTTAACTGTGTTAAAAAGCACCCAAATATTCAAAAGATGCAAGCCACAGTCTGGTGTGGGAAAGGTAGCTTCAGTGCTTTAAAACAAGATATAAGGGAGTCAGAGTGTGTCAGGCATTTGAATGTTTCAGCTGGAATTGAGAAATCTGGGTTCAGATTCAGCTTGGCCATAAAACCACTGGGATGCTAGGAAAAAGTTAACAACTTCTGCCTCAGGAACCCTCTCTCAAAAAGAGTAATAATAACAATTAACAATCTTCACGAAGCTGACGCAGGAGGAAAAGAAAACCCCCCACAATACCTCAGGTCCACAAAAGAACAACTGCTTTCAAATTCCAATCCATCACATTCTTCATAAATTTTGTTGGCTGTTTCGGGAGTGTCACACTCTACAACCGCATAGAAATACTTCAGTCGCTTGAACTGATAGTCTCTCAGTTTTTCCTTATAAATGCTTTAAAGGAGAGAGAGAAAAAAATCAAGTAAGGCTAAAAAAATGAAGGAACAATGAAGCAATTATACTGCAGACCAGTTCTCACAGCTGTGTGGCATAAGAGTATACACCAACATATGAAACTTCATGATTATGACCAAATATCAGACTAGTGCCACAATGCCGCTCAGTGAACTAACAAGGTATTTTGAATCTTAGACCCTAGGAATATGTTCTGATGTACTTTAGAATCTGAGTTCCCTCACAACTATGGATACTCCAGAGTGCCTGGTGCCTCTTGATATTGTTGGACTCCCACCAGTCCCAGCCAGCATGGGAAATGGTCAGGGATGATGGGAATTGGAATCCAGTAGCATCTCGAGAGCAGACTTCTTCAAACTCGGCCCTCCAGATGTTTTGAGACTACAATTCCCATCATCCCTGACCACTGGTCCTGCTAGCTAGGGATCATGGGAGTTGCAGGCCAAAAACATCTGGAGGGCCGAGTTTGAGGAAGCCTGCTCTAGAGTCATGTGCTAGGATATAGTTACTTTTGCTGTACCCAAGGGATTGCATTCACACATAAATGGTTGTTGTTATATGTTTTCCTTTGAACAGCAGCTCTCATGCTATATCTCTTGGAACTCCCTTGATTTGCAAAAGCATCTTGCTTTGTGGCATCAGGAGCTTTTGTTTGAGACAGAGAAGTTCAAAGGTACTCTGAACACAGCGAACTATTGGTGAAAAACTTTGAATCCCGTCCCCCGTTTGCCAATCCCTCCTAATGAATAGTTACCCAAACCATGGTAAGAAATCAAGGCATGAGTGGCCCTATGCAGAAGTGAGCATGATCTTAAATTCATCGGCTGGTCAGGAACTTAGCACTAATACAGCCTTGGATCCCTGGATATTGTTGCACTACAACTCTCATTAATCCCTGATGGCTAGGCTGGATAGGAATGATGGAAGTTGTAAGTCAAGCAACATCTGAGGAACCAAGACTGAAGCCTTCTAGACTAAATGAACTGAAAAAGAAAAATCAACATGCAATAGTTTAGGTCTCCCCATACAATTCTACCGGCCACTGTTTACAGAGAAAGCCAGATATGTCTCTGCTTTAGAAACATATGCATTTACATTCCCCAACTTTCCCCAATTACTTGTCAGCATTATTATAATATCACCGTATATCTATCTACATGGCACTTGTTCCAAGGGCCCCGTGGTCTGAGAACAGAAAGCAATGAATGAACAAAAGTGGCCATGCTGTTTGTGTTCTCTGAAGCACCAAATGTGCTGAAAATGCTAAACAAAGGTAAAGATGCATTATGGTAACAATAAAACTAGCAATTTTTTCCTTTTCAGACTTTTAGAACTAATGGCATGTCTATAGCAGCAAACTGGCAGTGTTCACCCAGAGGGAGAAAGGTTCCATCTAGTGGTAGAAATTCATTGTGCAGTATCATGTCAATACTTGTCATTTTGATACCCGAGGGTCATTCTGCTCATCATCCACCATCACAAATGCAACATGCAGCTGTAGTGTTCAAGTTGCTCAACTGGTCAGCCCTGCCTGCCTCAACAAGAAGCAAACAATGAGGCTTAGTGTTACCTGCAAACCAGATCTTGAGTTTATTTCTTTATGCAAACCATGAGTGGAAGCCAAGGAGCAAAACAAACTTTGAGTGCTGATTCACAGGTAGCACCAAGCCAAGCCTCTTGGTTTGTTTCTCCCAGATGTAAGCAAGATGTAGCAGAGCAGGAGCAACTGGGCAGTATGCACAGTGAACCATGGTTTATACCCAACCATTGCTTACTGTTACACGTGAACCAAACTAAGGTTAGGTCCACTACATGCCAAATGCTTTGGTGTGAAGACAAAGTTTTTAGAATGAGATACCAATAGAATTTTTTTTTGTTAAACTAGAATCATTTTGATATTGATTACTAACTTTAATTCTTCCTAGGATTTCAAAGGGGTTTATTTATTATTTAGTATATTTATTAAAAGTATATACTGCCCTTCATTTGAGGATCACAGGGCGGTTTAAAATATAAAAAGACACTGCATAATAAAAAAACATTAACCCTTCCCGATTTATTGGATTTCAATAGCAAAATTTTATATATGGGAATTATTGTATGTCAGGGTTAAACACCTGTCATTCTCTGTGACATCTTCAGGAAGGCTTAATAGTTCAGTTGGACCATTCACTTCCTCCTCTTTCATTCTCTCTTTCCCAAACTCTGAAGGATAGATCTAGAAACAATAAAAAGGGTGTGTGACATAGTATTAAGTGGCTTGAGAACAGCTTGGGCTTAGATTTTAAATAATAAATATCCCCATCGTTCCCTTCTGCCTTAACTATGATTTATACAATGAAATCCACTACTCACATTGCGCTATGAATAGGTCTTTATGCATGAGGCTCAACTGACACGGACAGAAGTTCATGGTAGACTGCTTTAACAGCAGAAATGTCTTAACTTTTGGTGTTCTGTTTTCATGCCTCACCAGTATACATTTTCCACAGAGTTCTATACTAAAGGATTCCTTATGGATTCCAGAGGGGGGGGGGATTGCATTTACTGTCCAGTTAAAAGAGCATTCAGTGAACCTAACTGCAGAATTGCAATCTTACTCTAATATAGGAGTGGCAAACTTATAGACCTCCTGGTGTGGTTGGAATTCAAAGTCCCATCAGCCTCAGCCAACATGGGCAGTAGTGAGAGATAATAGGAGTTGTAGTCTAGTAACATACGGAGGGCCACAGTTTTGACACCTCTTCCCACACCTTCAGTGCAAGTCTAACCAAGTATTTCAACTGAAACACCACAATTTACAATTTCTCCAGCACAACCCATGCTAGTCTCACAGTTGCAACTATTTGCAAAAAGACAGGTGGATTCCTTCGCACTTCCCCAAATATGCATTATTTGCACGCTGCTGTTGAAAACAAGTGCTTACCTTTACAGAAAAGATAAAACCACCCTTAGGTGTAAATGAATTAAGTAAAGCCAGTAGGTCCTTAGCTTTCAGTCGATCCCAGTCCATGTTGCAAACTGCCAATCTACGTGTTATCTGTGTGTAAGAAAATAATTTCACAAAAGCTGCCTGGACCTTTAAGGTAACACAATGGACTGCATATATCACCCTAAGTAAACAAAAATGCAGTTATGAAATTAGATTTGTGCACAAAGAGGACTCACAGTAGAGTATGAGCATGGCTACATAGCTTTCTGCTTTGGAGAAGAACCACAAAACGTGATCAACAAATTACTGTATTTTTTTGCTCTATAAGACTCACTTTTTCCCTCCTAAAAAGTAAAGGGGAATGTGTGTGCATCTTATGGAGCGAATGCAGGCTGCGCAGCTATCCCAGAAGCCAGAACAGCAAGAGGGATCACTGCGCAACGCTCCCTCTTGCTGTTCTGGCTTCTGGGATTCAGAGTATTTTTTCCCCCTTGTTTTCCTCCTCTAAAAACTAGGTGTGTCTTATGGTCTGGTGCGTCTTATAGAGCGAAAAATACGGTACATATTGACTTTCCTCCTCCAGTAAAGATCATATACCTTTGGTTTGCTGTTTCCTCTTCATATACATACACATACACATCAGGCCAGAGAGACAGTTAACCATTCTTGCTTAATCCAAGGAAGGATAAGAATCCAGGACAGCAAGGATAAACTGCTAAATCCACAAAGACAAAACTAAGGGCAGAAGATACAGAACCAGAATTTCAACAGAGGTTCTGCAACTATTTTGAGTGGCTCCTGCTTTAGTTTTAGCCTGGTTGACAGTGAAGTTGCAAAAACTGCTGCTAGAAGTACTGAAATTTTAAATGTGTTATATAGAAATACTAGAAAAACTCTCGTTCCATATATGTTAGGCCTTCCCTCCACCCCTAATGAAAAAGTGAGCTGTAAACTTGCTGGGAGTGTGGAAGGCTGCAATCCTATAAACCACTTACTTATGGACTTGCTTTTCATGAGGACTGGCCTTGAAGGAAGGCAAGAAACGAAAAGCAATCTCTCTACAGAAAGAGCTACTTAAAAGATAATTATGTAGTTAGGTCTTTCAAGATTCCTTGAGCCTTACCGCATCTGCACGAGGGGCATCTTTAGCCAATTCTCCCCACCCATGTTCAACTTCAGGCTCCTTTGGATATATCTCAGCCAAATCCTCCTCTTCATCATCATCATCAGAGCTGGTTTCTATATTGCCTTTCCCCCTTGCCAAATCTGGCCCACTGTCGCTTTCATCAATATCACTTTCATTTCCTGTTTCTTCTTCATCTTCTGAACCACTTTCTTCTCTCATTTCTCCCTCCTCTCCCAAGGCGCTTTCCTCTTCCAGATCCCCGCTATCCTCTGACTCACTTTCCTCTTCTGTCTCTTCACTACCTTCCAATTCATCAAGATCGAAGTGCTCCACATTTTCACAAGTTTCCTTTTGCAAGCAATGTTCATTAATGTGCTTGCTGAAAGAATTATCTTCCTTTCCTAAATGAAGGAAAAGCAATACATTTAAACATACATATGTACAATATAGTATTTTCCAAATCTGAATTACGTCCAATTATCCCTCTAAAAAAGATGGCACCTCAGACATGCAGAGTGTGAAGGAGAATGGAGTATTGCTAAGATTTTCAGTGGTGATTGAGATGTTCATTGACCAAATTGTAGCTTACAATAGCATGCATCTAACTATCTGGGAAACCAAATGTCCAAGACTACCTGTCAAGTGGCAAAAATAATTTTCTATCACACATGAAAGTGGACAAATTCAGTAAGAAACTGTTTTTTAAATGTAAATGTTTTTGATAGCACATTTAGGGAGGAAAATAAACTACTCTCTTTGGTGAAAATAGTTTTCATAACACTGTGTTTTCACGGTTTCTATTTAAAAGAGAAATTCCTGGGGTGTCCATGGATGGGCTTAGGCTGGGAAACTAGGCGAGTGCACACACAAACGTGTGTGTGTGTGTGCACACACAAACCCAACACAATAAATTCTAAGCAGAAAGCTTGTGTGTTTATGTGCATTTTTCCCTGGAGGGGGTTCATAGCTTTCATCGGATTTTCAAAGGGGTCTGTCACCCAAGAAGGGTTAAGGGCCACTGCTCTAAGTCACAGGTGAGAAACCACGACATGCAGTCCTCAGCCCTTGACCTAAATTTGTGTGGGTGATGAGGGGGGAAACTGGGTAGCAAAAAGAGAGAAATGGCAGTGGCAGCAGGAGAGACAGAAAAGGTGGCAGCCACTAATATGAAACCCCTGGCATAGTACCTCCCCACTGGGACGGCAGCCACTCAAAATGAAGGGTTCTCTGCAACTCACTTCAGGGCTGCCAAAGCCAGCCTTTTGTCCTTGTAAAGGTAAAGGGACCCGTGACCATAAGGTCCAGTTGTGGCCGACTCTGGGGTTGCGGTGCTCGTCTCGCTTTATTGGCCGAGGGAGCCAGCGTACAGCTTCCGGGTCATGTGGCCAGCATGACTAAACCGCTTCTGGCGAACCAGAGCACCGCACGGAAACTCTGTTTACCTTCCGGCTGGAGCGGTACCTATTTATCTACTTGCACTTTGACGTGCTTTCAAACTGCTAGCCAAAAGTCTGGGGGACATGCAGGCTGCTGGATGGCATAAAATGAGCTATAAGCATGATGGCATAGGATCCTGTTTATAGGGATGCAGTGGTACTCTGGTGGTGGAGAGATTCTGCTAACTCTTTGCAAGAGACTGCACTACAACCAGTTCCACTGACACTTGGTGCATTGTACAGCCCTAATCCCCAACTAGATTCCGCCATCTATTTCAGGAGTTGAGAATCTGAGGCCCTATAATTCCTATTAGTCCCAGCCAGCATGGCCAATCATCAGGAATGCTGCAAGCTGTAGTCTAGCAACAACGAGAAGATGACAGATTCCCCACCCCAACCAATTTAAAGTACAGCTCTAGGACAGTTTTCCTCCTCAAGTTTAACATATATTACCTCCACAGAGTTTACCACTAAGTGCACTTCTTTCCAAATCATGTCTGGAAAACTTACTGATCTTCTGCGACACCACAAAAGCAATTATTGTGCTAGTTTGGGCAAAATTAAACAGTCTCCCATAAAAGAAGTATTGCATGCAGAAAACAGAAGCATAGAGAATTATTATTCATTTAGGCTATGCTTCTATGCACTTACTTGGAAGTTCCATTGAAACCCACATAGGGGTTTGGATGAGCAAATCTCAGTATATTAAAAAAGGATACACATGAGCCTTTTTTTGCTCCTCCCTTCGTGGCAAGGCATTTTATGTAAATTGGGAAACTGCAGGTACCAGTTTCAACACAAGCCAGGGTCTTAAAGTACATTTCAAACCATGGTTTAGGACAATGGCTTGTTTCAAAGCTGATGACCATAACTTCCCAGTTCAAATGAAATGGAAAACTATGGTTCATTAGCTAATTCCTGGTTTGACTGCTGTACTCCGCAAAGGGTGAATCAAAGGGGCTTGTGTGCATAAGCAAAAGACTCATGCATATCTCAGTTTGATAAACGGAGGTAGGATTATCCAAACTGGCTAATAAAATATTACATCCAAGAAAAACTGAGTAAGATTGAGAGACAGGTGACAAATTTCAATTAATTACATTCAACCAACCTAATTCATTTCTTTTATGGTTTACATAACTGTCTGTGCTGCTATTCTTCACTGCTTTTTCTTTTACAGTCTTCAGATTCTCAGGAAACTTTCTGCCTTGCTTGTTCTGCTTCTTTGATGTAAGTTCCTTTACTTGTTGCAATTCAATCACTTGTGTGCCTTTTACAGTCTTTTTGGACTTTAACGACTTGCTTTTCTGGCCTTCATTTTTTAAAATACCCAGTTTTGACAATGAGGAACTTTTATCTGTCCCTTTGCTTTCTTTCCCAGAGTTACTATCAACAGGAGACTTCTCAGATACTCTCCTTTCTTTAGTCTTGGCCTTCTCTCCCTGCGATTTCTTCTTAGTTAATTTTTGGTCAGACTCTGAAAGATCTGAATCTGAAAGGTCATAAAAGCGTCTCAGGTCCTCTGTAGAGCTGTGTTGAACAGGCCGCCCTCGCTTATCCACTGTGTACTTCAACTTGAATTTTTTATCATGAAACATGGCCTGAAATCTTTTATCAATTTTGATTTTGCGATCTTTTTCTGGCATTTCCCAAAATCTTGGGTCTTTTGTAATGTGGGAAAACCGCTGGTCACTAATGAGCTCCTTTTTAGACTCCATTTTCGAACTTTTAAAAAAGCCAAACTTGAACTACTAAAAAAAGAAATAAAGAAAGGTTACATCCATAAAGCAGTTCTATCACAATGCATCACTCTGAAATTACTGACAGTTTTTATTAAGGAGCAAGACAGCACCAAGCATTACAGTAGTTTCACAAGACTTACAGATTAGTAAAGTAGGAGTAGCAAACATAGTGCCTTTCAGACGTTGTTGAACTCCAACTCCCATCATTCCCAGCTAGTGGTCATGCTGGTTGCAGTTCATGGGAGTCCAACAGCATCTGCATGACATGGTGTTGGCTACCCCTAAGCAAAGGAAGAAAGTTATACACCCAAAGAAGCATATGGCACAATCTGGACAAACAGTGAGACCTATTCAACCTTCTTCCTCACTTTTCAAGTTCCATTAAATGTAGTCTGATCTGGATAGGATCACGGCTTTTGTGAATCTAGTGGCCTGCTCTATCTTCCCCAGAAAAAGGTGCAACTGGAACACCAGCTATAGCCGGTGGAATCCCATCCAAAACAGGCAGTATGTACATCTAACCTCATCAGCTTTTTTTAGTGGCTCAAAGTACTTCTGCCTTGTCTGGATCTAGTGACAGTCTGTTTGTACACAACCTGTTCATCACTGTTTTCAGGCACCAGTTCAGGACTTCTACTGCCTTCCTGGAATCTGATGCAAAAGACAGCTGAGTGCAATATTATCAGCATACTGTTGATACCCTACTCCAAATCTCTAGAAAATCTTACCCAGAGGTTTCATGTAGAGGTGAAACAACATAGGAAACAAGCCAATGACGGAGCATAACAGTCATTCCTGGACACTGTCTTCTGATATTTGCCCTCCAGGTTCAAGTGGAACCAGTGCAAAATATGTTTTCTCAGAATGTCAAGAAGTATAGGCAAGGCACTGTGAGGTTCAGCAGAACCAACAGAAATGCATCCCACCCCAGTTCCCAACACAGGTTATCAATGAGGAAAATCAATCCCAAAACCAGGTGAGAAACCAAACTGGGAAGAATCAAGATAATCAGCATCATCCAGGAATTACTGGATGTGAGAAAACAGCACATACACGAACTCTGCCTAGAAATGTTTGATACATACAATTATACTGAATAGCAGTGACTAAGGAGGGTTTCTTACAACAGCTTTTTCCAGGGCAGCTGGCATATTGCCATTCTTGAAAGGAGAACTCATTATAATCTGCTCCATTCACCAGGCATTCCTCTCTGACTATATTAATCAACCATAGCATGCAAGGATTTAGAAGGCAGGTAGTAGCAGTGGACAACTTCACAGTTCCAGGGATCTCATTAACATCTCAAGATGAATAAACAGGACAAGCAGGTGTCATGGGTATATCAACACAACATGTAAATCCAGGTCAAAGTTGAGGAAAAAGACCCTAATATCTTCTTCAGATACTTTATTCTAGGAGCCCCTAGCAAATAATGCTGGGCAGGTGGCTACCAGAGGGAGGATTTTTACAGTGGTGGCATCCCAGGAGCAGAATGCTCTTGCCAGAATGGCTTGTCTGGTGCCCACACTGAAATCTTTCCAGCACCAGATGATTACGTTTTTTATTTTTTAAAAGCTTCCATCTTTCTTGCTTTTTATTAAAAAAATGTATGTTTTAGATCATTTGCAGTATTTCCATATTCTGCCACTGGGTTTCTTTTGCTCTTGATTTCATTTAAATGTTATGTTTTATATTCTATTTTATACCCTATGATCTTTACTTAAAAACTGCTCAGACAATTTTTGTTGTCTATGTGATATATACTGTAAACAGTGCTTTTTGCTAGAAAAATAAGTGCCAGTAATCACCGTGAAGCTGTTACAGTACATGCCACACTTTTTAACAAGAAAAGAGGTGCCGGTACTGTATACCCCGAGTACCCCCTGGGGAGAAAGCTGACTGTAAATAAATAAAATCTACAAAATGTACTGCAAAAGCCCCTGGTCTCACCACTGTCTCAAGAACAAAGATGCAATAGGCCTGTAATCACTAGGAACAGTTTTGCTGGCTAAATTTTCACAGACACAGCAATGGCAGAAAAGTAGGATTTCATGTCTGCCATCACACCAAGGAGAAGGTCAGGTGTGGGGAGCCTTTGGTTTTCCAGATGCTGAACTACAGCGGCAATCATTCCTGAAATGTAAGTTACTTGCAAGATAAGAGCAGCACTCTCCTACCTTTTATCCTAAATACGATCGAAGCAGAGATACGATTTGCCTAAAAATATCTCAGAGGCAAATTTGTCAGTTGTTGACCACTTTTTGAGGTGATAAAGGCTGCAGCCCGACACACACCTACACAGAAGTAACTCCTTCAAGCTCCAGTAAGACTTACTCCCAAGAAAAATATGTATAGATTTGGACTGAAACATAGGAACAATTTATGCAGGGAAAGCATATATTGATATCTCCCATCTCCATCATCGAAAGGTGACATAACTGCAGTTGTAGCAACTGCACACTGGGTACAACAGAGTACAAAACATACACGTATTGTGTAACTTATACAGTGGTACCTCGGTTTAAGAACAGTCCAGTTTAAGAACAATTTCATTTACAAACTTCACAAAACCGGAAATATTGTCTTGGTTTGAGAACTTTACCTCGGTCTAAGAACAGAATCTGAACGGTGGAAGGGCACCGGTGGCAGGAGGCCTCATTAGGGAAAGCACGTCTCGGTTTAAGAACAGTTTCGGTTTAAGAATGGACTTCCGGAATGGATTAAGTTCGTAAACCGAGGTACCACTGTATTCCCCCACTGAAAAGTGCAGAAACCAATGGCTTCAAGTTGCAAGAAAGGAGATTCCTACTCAACATCAGGAAGAAGCTTCTGACAGTAAGATTTCTGTTTGACAGTAAAACAGGCTTTCTCGGAAGGTGGTGAACGCTGCTTTTCTGGAGGTTTTTAAGCATCTGCCACGTATGATCTAGCTGAGATTCCTGCACTGCGAGGGGCTGGGCTAGATGACCCTGGGGTCCCCTTTCCAACTCTACAATTCTATGAAGGGAGGTATGCAAATTCAACAATAATATTAATATTATTAATAATAATAATAATATACAACAATAATAAACCCTCTCCTGAGGAGGAAACGGCTGTTAACCCTGGCCAGCTAACACGGAGCAGAAAAGCGTGGTATACACACAGGGGGAAAGCACAGCAGCAATGAAATAAAGCCGAGAAAAGCGCCTTCTACGAACATTTACGAACAAGGTGCCGCTGCCTCCCTCATAAGAGGCGCAACCGCTCCACGGGGCCCACGACACCCGCGTGCTCCCCATACTCACCGCAGCTTCTTCTCAGGATACTCAGGCGCGAGGAACTTCCGGTATCGGCGGGGGGGGAGGAAAGCACGCAACCTTTCGTCACTTCCGAAAGACTGCGCGCCACTGCGCATGCGCAGCGAGCGCTTCCTGGGAAGGCCGGCCTCCGGCGACTTCCAATTGGAAGGCGCGGTCAGCTGGGCGGGACGACGGTTAAGCTTCCCAGCGAATATAAACTGAAACAGAAGCAAACCGTGGAACGTGCGGCGCGCGGGTTCGAGGCAGGAGCGCATGCGCATCGCTTTCTCGGCGATGGGCGCGAGGGCGCTGCTGAGGGGGCCGCACCGCCGCCTCCTCCGCCTCCTCCTGGGCGGCAGTTCGGGGCGCCGCTCCGCCGCGGGCCCCGGCGCCCTCAGCCCCTTCGACCGGCAGCTGAAGAGGAAGCAGAAGGAGTGGGCGGCGGCGCGGCCGGAGATGCAGCGCTGCGAGTACCTGAGGGAAGAGGTGAGCGCCGCTGGGGAGGCGAGGGCGGAGAGCCGCCGGGCCGCGTTCCTGGATGCGGCCCCCGCCACCCAATGCCAAGAACGTAGAAGGGACCGTTTTCGTGGACAGCGTTCGAGCCAGCAGCTTCAGCGTCCGGTTTTGCGGACTGGGATCCACGAAGGTTGAATAGGTCTCAATGTCATTTGGCTAGAGTAGCTGAAGATCATTCGACCAACCAAAGGTGTTTGGAGGGGCGGGGCATAACTCTTCAAACCAAGTACTGTAAATAAATAATCCTGCCTCCAGGAAAATAATAATAATAATTAATAAATAATACCTTATTTTTCTGCTGCTAACCACGCTGCCAGCCTTCCAGCAATATCAGTCCAAGTGCATGTGGCTGATCGCTAGCAAATGGGAAAACGTCAGTATAAAAATATATAGTCCCAAATTTACTTTGTCGTTCCTGGTTTTTTGTGTGTGTTTGTTTGTTTGTTTTCCTGCCTGGATTTAGACATCGCCTAGTGTGAAGCATGGTTTGGCTGTTGGACACACCTTGGCAGGATCCTACACTCTTCCCTCTGTGCCTTTGACATTGAGACTATGGCTAGTGCAAACCGTGCAAACTACTTTTTCCAAATATGTTTCAGACTATCAGGTCAAAGTGAGGTGTGGAGGAAAGATACAGGGTTTTCAGTGTCTGGTACGAAAATAGGGTTGTATTCAACTGACTTTTTCACAGAGTGGAGCTTTTGAAATTAATGACCATGACTAACTCGGCTCCACTCGTTTCAATGGGTCTGTTCTGAGTAAAGGTTTGCTGGTTGCAATCCATAACTTAACCAGCCTTACAGTACATTGTGCCTTGATTTGGGGAGTCAGGGGAGAAAATTTGCTGTTCTACACCAGCAAATGTCTTACCACAGTTCCAGGAAGGGAGGGAGAGTAATAGCCTGCAGGAGCTTTCATGATCACCAAATAATGGTTTGACATTCTGTATGAATTAAGCCACTGATTGAGCATCACTTTTCAGTTAAATGTGGAAAAAGTTAAGTTTTTCCTAAGATCAAAATTGGTAGTGATACTAGTTAATCTGTAGTGGTGGTTAATTTATTCTCTGGAAGTGGTGAACCCATATAGTGAGAACCAACTGTTCCTTCTTCTGTTTCACAGGTTGGTGGTAGGATAGCTGACCGTGTGTTTGACATAACTAGGTAAGATATTAGCCTATCCAATTTGTATGTCTAGCTGTTTTCACAAAATCCATGCTATTTCAACTATACTGGAAAGTTGGGTACAGGGAATTATAAAAGCTTCCTGGTATCATTGATAGTAAATTCAGGTAGGTAGCCATGTTGGTCTGACGCAGGGTTAAGCCACAGAGCCTAGGACTTGCCGATCAGAAGGTCGGCGGTTCGAATCCCCGCAAAGGGGTGAGCTCCTGTTGCTCGGTCCCTGCTCCTGCCAACCTAGCAGTTCGAAAGCATGTCAAAGTGCAAGTAGATAAATAGGTACCGCTGCGGCGAGAAGGTAAACGGCGTTTGTGTGCTCTGCTCTGATTCGCCAGAAGCGGCTTAGTCATGCTGGCCACATGACCTGTACACCGGCTCCCTCAGCCAATAAAGCGAGATGAGCGCCGCAACCCCAAAGTTGGCCACAACTGGACCTAATGGTCAGGGGTCCTTTTATCTAAGGTGTTACTGGACAATTTTTTTTAAAAAAAATTAGACAGTAAAGCAGTAATGTTTCCATTCAGTGGAAGGTGTGTAATTGGGAGTTGGATTTGGATCAAAACAAATATTGTACTGTTTTGTTTCTTGAAAGTTTCATTCTTTGTTTTTGCTTAAAAAACTTTTAAAAATTATATTTCCGCAAAATGAATTATAAAGATAACAAACAGAAATGTATTGCATAGAAAATACAGAATGTCACGTAAGAGAAGTTTAAGAAGTTTACACTGGTATAATTTAATAATATTCATCTCTAAAAAGAGAGAAATCTAGTAACCAAGATTTGAGAGCATACATTACCTGGCTGTGGGTCAGTGATAAAGAAGGAAACGTAAATTGAGATATTTTGAGGTAACAGAAGGAGGACTGATAGTTATTCACATGCCTGTTTAAAGAACAAGAGACCAAAATTGGCAGCCATAAATGACACTGAATCTATATGAAATAAAAGCAAATTACTTTGGGAATATGGTGTTGTGTGCTGCTGTAACAGCAACTTGTGTAACTAAGCAACACCTTGTAAAACATGATTAATGAGAAATAGCAGCAGACATAATAGCAAAAATTGAACATGTGCCTAAATGTAATCACGTTTAGAAATACTAGTGGTTTTTAGTGAAACTTTGAAGTGAGGTACATAGGGTTGCAGTATTCTTTCCACAGATTTGACAGCATAATGAAACTTGTCAGAGTAACCACATCAACCAATTGCAAGTGGCATACATTGCAGCCTGTGTCTAACTTAGAGAGTAAGAATTGCACCAAAGCATTATATATTAGGAGTCTTACTGAGCTGCATCTTTGCAAATAATTTGCATTTATTTTTTCTAAAGGACTTTCCCCCTTGCATTGGATCTTGGCTGTGGACGAAGCTACATAGCTCAGCATTTAAATAAGGTATGATTTCCTCTGGATCTTTGGCTTGGATTTGAATTACACAGAGAGAACTAAACAGTAGATCTACCTTGGGCTTTTCTCTTATGCATAATAAAAATAGGTCTAGCCACAGTGGGTTGGATCCAGACTTGCCAATGTCAAATCTGTTTTGACTCTGTTGTCAGCAAAATTCTGAGTGCTGTCACACACAATACCATATTAATAGCTTAACCCTGTGATTGATAACTTGGATGTAAATCACATTGTGGCCTCTGATAGGATTTACACCCATGTGGATAGGATTGCACTTTTGTGGTGTACATTACAAAATATTGTCTCCCTATGAAATAAAGCTTTTAGATATGGACCAGGATATTCTACTTTTCGTGTGTCTTCACCCAAAGTACCGGTAACTCTCCCATCCCACTCACCCCTAGATAAAGTCGGGTAAACGGTTGGAGACAATTTACGGTTATTTTTGTTTCAGGATGTAATTGAACAGCTTTTTCAAGCCGATATTGCAGAAAACGCTTTGGTAGGTAGCTGTCTTGTACTTGCTAGCTGTTTAATCCATTATATTGAAAAGTAAAGCACCTTAACTGCAGTCCTAAGCCATTTCTATTCTAATCTAATTTAGAAAAACGCAATAGAATCCGAGATACCCAGAGTCAGTGTTATAGCTGATGAAGAATTCCTTCCTTTCAAGGAGAATACATTTGATCTTGTTGTCAGTGGACTAAGGTAATTAATAAGTGAACTAAAGGTAAACAAAATAGTTTCTAGCGATTGCGGCTTGGCTCTGAAAAGGCTTGTGGGTGAATTAAAGCATTTCCATGCATGGGGTGAGGTTGAAGAAAAGCTAACTTTCTACAGAATTCAGTCCCTAGCACTATAACAGTTGCTTTGGCGGTGGGGCTTCTGAGCTACCAAGGTCTACAAATTATTGTTATGTGAAGGGAAAGGGGGCTGAAAAGCTCTAAAGCACAAATAGAACACTGCATATGTTCCTTTGGATTCTGGCCTCTGTATCTTAAAAACATGTGGAAGCTAACAATTCCGTTGGATACCAAGCCATTACGCACTCATCTGGAAATAAGTCCTATTGAACTCAATGGGGGCCTACTTCTAAGTAGATTTGTATGGTAGTACAAAGTTGGTCTCCAAAACCAATATGTGGTGCTTATACCATTAAGGCTTTCTGGCTGGTTTCAGAAATGATTTCATACAAACTGGGAGTGGTTATTACCACTAACTACAACTAGTGTCAAAAGCAAGCCAACATCAAACCATGGCTTAGGAAGCTGGCTTGTTTATACTGTCATAGCTCAAGCAGAATGACAAGCTGAGTTTAATACTGCTGATCATCCAAACGCAAGAAAAGGGAAAAGTTGACAGCTGTGCAAGTGTGGCTCATAGCTCTTGTCTGAACCCTTTCTTAGTCTTTCATATTTTATTTCCAATACACTTACCTTTGTGCCAGTAGCCCAACCTGTGCTGCCTGAAACTTGCATTGCTAAGAGAGCTCTATACCTTTTATTAATTCATTTTTCACTTAAATTTTTTTGTTTTTGTTTTTTTTAGCTTGCATTGGGTAAATGATCTTCCCAAAACATTGCACGAGGTAAGTACAAGTATTACTGCTCCTATAAAGTAGATAGATAGGAATTTGGCTGAATATCTATGAGTACAGGTGAAAGTAATGTTTAATCATACTGAGTTTTTCCAGATATTCTGGCCATATCTTTACATTTTCCAGTTGGAAACTGGAACTATTACTTTATATTATTTTTTAAAAAATGACTGGGTAGGCTGGGACATGGAGAGTTGTCCATCTGCCTTGATATATTTTGAGGGAGTAAGGGGGTGTCTTTTTAATTGTTACCCCTCCAAAAAAAACCCCACTGTTCAGGTACTGGAAATGTCAGTGTTGTGTAAAAGTAGGAGGTATTAACATGCACAGAGTAGTTCGGGGGGGGGGGTTGCAGAAGTATAAAAATACTAGGATGAGGGTGATCAGGGACCCTGAAAATAGACCAATGAGGA